TGGACATAAAATGTTACCAAAAAATAACCACACTCAAAAATATATTTTTCTTCCCCTACTTACAATTATGTTTGTTAATAAAAACAAAGCTTTTACAATATCAGACCAACTATTGGCTTTTCTAATAAACTTGGTAAGTACTCTCCCTGTACATCCTGCTTCTCTTCAGCATTTAGCAGTTGTTCTTATACACAAGGTAATGTCTCTGAAGGAATTCAACTGGTTTGTATTTTTTGACAAACTAGGTATAGCTTTTTGTGTTCCACCGAGTTGTTCATTCTGTTTTAGCTGCAATGTCTAACATGCTCCAAAACATATTCAGGAAAGTGCAAGCTGCAGACTTGGAAGCCATACAGCTTGCACGGCATTCTCGGATATTCATCTTCTTTCCATTTGTTTTCCTCTGGATCAAAGGTGAGAATCGAATCACTGTAATGACCATTGTAACAAAGGCCTCCAAGAACCATTATCTGTTTGTCCAGAACAGCTACACCATGACCACTCCTACCAATTGGCATAGAAGCCAATATAGTCCATTGATCAGTATCTGGGTCATAAACCTCTGTAGAAGGACATCCTTGAGATTCAAAGGAGGCCCTTAGGATCACACAGACACCACCAAAGACATAAAGCTTACCGTTATAAGAAATCATTTTGTGAAAGCATCTTGCATAATTCATTTTGCATTTGTTCTCCCAACAGTTAGTGACCACTTGAGTTCTCCTTGTTCGCTGCTCTACTGTCCCTTCTTTACTGGGATCAAACACACACACTTGCTTAGAAGTTGAAGATGATGTAATTCCACCAGTGATATACAACTTGTTACCAAGCACAGTCCCTTCATGTCCGTATTTATTGACTGGATAGGGATCCACAAATTCCCATTTATCTTCAGTAATATCATACCGTTCAGTTGAGTAAAACGTTTCATCCCTGGTTCTCCCAGCCACTGCATAAACATACCTCCCAATAACTCCAACAGCAAACTCAGAACGTGGAACAGACATGTCTGCCATTCGTAACCAAGTGTTCTGTCTTGGGTCATATCTAAACACTTTGGATGAAGCATGAAATTCACCATCTGGCCCCAGTTCTTCCCCACCTAATAGGAACACAAAATTATTCACAATGGCAAGGCAGTCTGGTCGTAAAGGTACTTGAGGGCCCTCTAGTTCCCACCAGACCCTTGGTTTGTGCAAAAGAAGAATTTTACTGTTTACCATACTGTGTCCTATCATTCCTCTAAATACTGCAGTCTGGGGTTTGGCAGAACGAATTTTGTTCGATTTCATTTCCATCAAAGGCTGTTGGTGAACGCTATGAAAGTAATTCATGGCTTGGTCAACCTCATGTCGCAGCTGCCGGGAGTATCGATAAAACTCTGATGTTTTTACCTATGAATACATTTAAAAGATATTAAAATTCTGACCAAGAGAAACAATCCAGAAAACCTAAATGACTATGTGTCAGTAGAAGATTATTTTACTTAGTCTCATTCAGGTAATCTTGAGAGCAATTGCATTTGTGCATGGAGGGTTAAGCTAATGTACTGTTATCCAAAATCCAGAAGGTAATTTAGTAATTAACAGCAGTGACTAACGTTTTCAATACAATACTCACATGCAGAACTTAAGCCGGAATTCAGCACAACTGAAATCCCCAAATCTAAAAATCGTTATTGCTTCTCCCCCAAAAAAGCCTCTGTTCATCTTCTGCTTAATCCTTGAAACACTTAAATTAAAAATGCACTATTTTCCTGATTTTGAAAAACATTCTACACAGCCATTTTGTGTTTACCAGCATCTACCCTAGTCTAATTTCTGCTGAATTGTCAGAACCAAGCCCAAGCAGGTATTCCCAAATGCTAGGCTCTGCTCACAAGGCTATTTAACTGGGGTAGGGTAGGAAGGGAAGGTACCCAAACACCTTCCTTCAGAACACCTGATTGCACTAACCACTCCTCATGATGGTTACCTTATGGTTTCCCCTCTGTGAGTCTCCACATGTTAACGCATGCCTTTAACAGAAGAGGAAAACATCTCAACCTAAAATCCTTTGGGTGCACATTTATTTGGTAAATTGCAGAGGCAGGTTTAAACTTCCACTTCCCAGGTGAGAGTTACAACTGTTGAATTACCACATAGCAGTGAAGTGCTCCTTCTTGGTGCCATCTCAATTTGAAGAGCTATCCCTACTCAGTTTTACTGGAGTTGGGGAGAGAGGGGGAAGATTGTAACAATTTACCTTTCCTACTATCTAAGGCAATTTCAGTTCCTGAGACACTTCCAAAACACACTCGTCTTGAACATTTTAATAAATCTAGCTCCAGGCAGCCCTCGGGTCACCATATGATTCTCTTCAAAGAGGCTTCACTCTTCCTGCACAGTCTGGTCTAACGCAGCATTCTGAATTACACTTCTAAAACAAATAAAAACCCGCTAGATATTGCCAAATCCAGAAATCCTCTATCACATTTGATCCCAAGTCCCAGTTTCTTTCACATAGAACTGGATTGCTTTCAAACAGTCCGAATGCCTTTAGTTCCCAGCCAGCTCCAAGAAGAGAAGCAATGCACTGAAAAAATGTGAGGCCACTCTGAAATTTCAAAGTGACCACAAGATAACACCAGAAGCTACCATTTTTCAGTATCTGTTCCCCCACCTCCTCCTGTTCCCTGTCCCAAGGACAAAAGCACGTACCACCACTTACCTAAGGGGTGGTGGTGTGAATTTTCATGTATACAAAAAGCAATTTGGAAACAAATGTTCTTTATACCTTGTGAATAAAGTAGTTGCTTGTTCCATAAACATGTACTGTTACAATTTTGTTAGCTTTCTGTTAACAATTTCTCTTCCTTGTATAGTAATTAACAGATGCTGCTGTCATATAAACAATCCTAAAAATATCTTTTGAACTGGTGTTATTGGGCATGATTTGCACAGATTTTGAGATTGCTTTACACACCAGATTTTCAAAAAACCCTGAATACTAATCTATTGTTGTAAGGCACTGTATAGCTCAAGAGTTATAGTGATTTGATGTTTTTATTTACATTTTTTCTTTCCCCTACTTTATTTTGACAAGTTCGACTTATCTTTGCTTGGAAAAAAGAGTATGGTCACATGCAGATTGCAGATACTATTCTTGTGGCAATATCCAGCTTCTTTCTACCATTTTTACTGGGGGTGATTGTGGAGCAAAAAGGTTTACTTAGGTATAGTGCTTATGGAACATCCACAGGAAGCCCAACTCTTCTGGGGAATAACAGATCTATTTTCTTGTTGCAAATAAAGAATATATCATACAAACACAGGAGATCTGCTCGTATGGAATTTGTTAGAATAAACCACATACCTTGCCTGACTGAAAAGACTGAACTTAAATTCCAGAAAATATGCTGGGGGAAGGGTGTCAGGGAGAACCACAGCACAGAAAAATGGTAAAATATAGAAAGGCTTAAAGGTTACAAAAAATTAAACAGGAAGTTAAAATAACAAAGTATCCTGGGTGGGTTACTTTATCCTTAAAAGTAACTTTCAAATTCTAACACAGCACAACTATTTCATGCATTCCCAAACTGGCGCTATCATTTTTGGAATTAAACAAAAAGATAAACAATTTTTGTTCCACCTACATGCATTTCAAGTTTTCTTGGATGATTATGGAAGACAACAGGATCAACATGCTTACAACGTGAAGTATGCCAGCAAAGCCTGGCAGAGATGGAAAATGTTTTTTCTTTCCCCCTCAGCATTTACAACTCTCTCTTTAGATCTAGAAATTGAAATGCCAGCCAGACACTGGAATTAAAATAAGCCTCATGTATGCTCATCACTCTACTCCTTCACATAGCCCAAATCTCACCCCATGAGAGCATACAAAAGGAAACAAGGAATATCTCTAATTCCAGAGACATCATCTCAAGACTGGGGAATCAATCTATTAGTAGTTTACTACTACTTATCTTGACAAAGGCACAGACATCAAAGCAAAGCCTCAATCTCTTACCCTAAACCAGAAAGACATCAAAAAGCAAATGCGACTACCAGTTATAAACAACTCTTTCAGACTGAATTTCGTGGGGAAGCTATCTACATGCACAATCTTGAAGAGATGAACATGAAAATGTATAAGCACTAGCAATTCTTACAATATTCAGGAAAAAAAAAATCCACAAAACAAAACAGAGTGTCAGACTACCTACACTCTGGTAAGAAAGGTAGTTGGAGGCTTCCTAGACTTTGCTGTTGAGGAAAAATACCAGTGTTTCTAGCCTTCCACCTTTCACCAGCACAACCTCTGCCATACAGGAGTGGTACCTCTCCTGGGGCTCAAATGATGGTCTAAGATTAATGTTAGGATATGCCTATATGAAAGTACAGGCTGCTCACGCTTGCTTGATGCGAATGTAGGTCAGTTTGCCCACTTCCACATTCACACACTATCCGCCTGAAATCTTCCAGAATTATCTGAAAGTCCTATTCAGCCCATAGTAGGGAAAACCCTCCAAACACCTACACTTCTGAATAATTTTACAATACTTTTAACTACTTGTGTGTATAATCAAAAAAGAGAAGCGTTAAAATTTATGTGTTTAGGTAGTAAAATACAACTGTAAGTTCTGCATCTATTTTAGTTTTAGTAGATTAAAGAACATGGACTTCAGCAAGCCTTTTGTGGGAATTGCTAACACCCAAAATACACTGAAGGAAATCCTTCAGCATTCAAAAGTATGCTTCTGCCATTGCCCATAAGTAGCAACAAGTAGTTGATCAACAAATATCTAAGTGCTTACCAGCAGACTGATTTTCCTGTTAAGTTCAAATGGAGAAGCTCTACAAGGAACATGCCCCTAATTACCAACATACTCCATTAGAAAGAATGCTCACAAGTTTCTGCAAAACATCCAAAACAGATGGAAATGTACACCAACCGTGATGAACCTTGAAGTAAAACAAATGCACATTCTTAAGAGTACATCATCAGCTCTGAATTGATTAAAAAAGAATATATATATATGTAAATACTTCATAGCACTTTCCAAGTTTAAAGAAAGACTGTTCTGTTATCTTGCTGAAGGGTCTCGAAGTTTAAGTTGGACTTCCTTACCAACCCCAGTCTTATTATAAAAAAGGAATTTAATCCAAGTGCTAAAGCTTTGCTCATATCATTTTCTACATTCTTTCCAATTCTTCCTCTTCAGTTTTCCAGACAAAACCTTCTTACAGAGGTTCTGCTAGGACACAGCGCTAGTGTAAGAGCTCCCCAAAGAACTCTAATGAGAACCATCTCATTGCATCATCTACCAGTTTACAGTGGTTCAGTCAGACTTTCAGCTACACAGAGAGGGAACAGCATGAACAAAATCAAATGTGTCATTCCATAAAAAAAGAAGATAAGGAAAACAATTAAAAACATCCATCTCTATACTCACCCCCTAGGCAGTCAATATCAAAAACATCAAGACTTCACCAAAATCACCACCATCCCTCCAGCCACAGTAAATTGGAGCTTGAATGCATTTTCTCTTCTTCATTTTGAATCAGCAAAACTCACAGTAAAAACTGCTGGCTTTCCAAATTAATGCAGCTATTAATCATTGCCTATTTTTCTGCTGTATTGCAATGCATGCTTTTCTAGTTGCAGCAGCTATGCAAGTTTCAGAATTTTCCATCTATATTCTATGAAAAAGTAAAACCAAAAATGTAAGCCATTAGTTTCTAATTTGAAAAGTGATCCCCACAGAAGACCAGACATATCCCATGTTATGTTCATCATCTCCTCCTCCCCCTTAAAATAATTAAGCAAATTAATAAGCTGAGGAAGAGCAACGAAATGCAAGGTAAATGTTCTGTAACACAAGTTTGACTTCAGCATATAGCTGCCCTTTTTTTGCCCCCAATACAACCATTTACAGCTATTGCTCTATTTGTATTTTTGTTACTTGGGCTTTTAGGAAAAAACTTTCAAAACTATAAGGAAAGGCTACTTTTAAAGTGCCCAAACTAAACATCTATTATTTGTACACTGGGTAACTAAATCTTAACATGTTATTATATGCAGTAGATATTAGCTTCGTTCCTTCTGTAGAACTGGTAAAAAACCACAGAAAAATCTGGATGGCTCATAATGTGACTATAATGTCTAGCCACATAAGCAGAGAACTATTTCAAAGGTTATAAACTCGTGCTTACTTAAGTTTCTAAAACTGCCAATTCTAAATGTTAAGTGATGCAACTCAAACTCAAGTACTAGGAATACAGAAGCTATGCTACACCTTTTCAATTAATAATGATGGCATCTGTATCAAACTTCTAGAGAGCAAATTCCTTTAACTTGCAAAAAAATTGATACTTTACTAGCAATTAAGCTGAATCAAACTGAAGATCCATCAATCCTACTAACTAGGATCCTTATTATTTTCACATCTACTTAACTCTGGCCGTATTCTAAGCACAATTATAAGCCTGTCAACAAACATTATCAAAATGTTAACGCACTTACTCCAAATTAAAATTCAGTCAAATAGAAAAAGTCACACATGTGGGTAAACCAGCAGCAACCAAAATTACTTTGCAACCAATCAGTATACATAGCACTGGACAAGCTGCTGTACTTAACTTTCCCTATTTCTAGCATGGCTCATTACTCAGTTACACCCCATGGCCAGTACAAAAACTGGTCAGTACCAGTACGGGGCTTTGAAGGGCTATTCTGCAAGTGCTACAACTCACTGGTTTTCAGCCTAACCACAGAAACACAAGACCACATAGCCTCTGTGCAGCAAGGACAATGCCCTCAAATTAAGTATTCTGCTGTTCCTTTTTAGAAACTGGCAAGAGAAATTAGCACAATTAAGCTGGAATCTAACTCAAATCTAATCTCTCAAAGTGGAGCCAACAATCTATATGTCAGAATTGAGATGCTCAGCACATAATAAATACTGCTAGCAAATCTATCCAAGTCAGCAATAACCTTTAGACATAAAAATGTAAGTACAGCACCTACTTAAGAGTGGCCCACTAACCTCATCCACTAGACACTTATTCTAAGCTTCAGCATATGAAGTTGTAGAAGTAGATACATACGAATTACTAGACATGGAGGTAAGTGAGGAAGGAAAAAAAAAAAAAGATAAATTCAACACATTTATCAAAGCTAAAGTCACAATGACATAAAATTACAATGACATCTCAAAAGTTACTATTTTCTAGGCACAGAAAAGCACATACTCAAAGATAATGTGCTATTCATCCTACCTCTAAAGCAGAAGCTGATGCACCTAGAGATTAGTAAATTTCCGATTTAAACTGGGAATTTATAAATCAGCATGGGCTAGTCATAACAAACCCTACAGACTGGACATCAAAACCCAAAAACCTTTCCATTTTAAGGACAGAGGTTTTGAAACATTTCAATCCAAGTAGTAGACAGAAACTAAATGGAGCTTAAACGGTATATGAAGGGAAATCATGACATGGTTGCCTCCAGTAACACAGAAAGGAACTCAATGACCTAGGAGAAATGCCCTCTAACTTTTATCTCCAACCTTCCTCAAGACTTACAGAGCCATGGATATGTTTCAAATAAAGTGTAACATGGATAGTGGAACTTGTGCTTCTCCCCATACACTTTGCCTTTATTTTCTAACTATTCTTCAAATCCTTACTTCATTTGTCTTTCCATTTTCCCTCATACATCTACATCTATTTTAAGGGCTGAGGAACAAAAGGACTCTCTATTCACACTTCAGAAGCAGTTCTTCCAGGACAGCTTAGAGTCAGCAAACAGGCTGCACCTTCACTCCAAACGCACATCAGCCTCAAGGTATAAATCTAGTCGCCCATCAATTTCTTTTTGAAAGGACAAGCCATCCCACTCAGACTGTAAATCTCTTCAAAAAGAAAGATGTAAGAAATAGAATGGCTTAAGAGGCCAGAAGTATCCTTATTGTGACTTGCAAAGTTAAGTTATATAAGTTATTTATATACTACAATGACAGGCATCTTAGAAATGCGTATTAGAAAGATTATGTAAGAGTACATATGACAAGCCAGCCAGTGTATAGCGAATTCAGAGCTCACTGAACCGTAAGAGTCAACTTCAGACTGTATTTGGTACATTCACGCAGGCATTTAGTATGTGCTGGCTTCAGGAAAAGGGCGAATTCTGTTTGTGGATCTCCAAAAAAAGCAGTTTTACCAATATTTTTCCCCTTCTATACACAGAAGAGAGCTCTCCTCAGGTCACTTCCACAACAGTTAACAGACATGCTCTTTTATTTAAGGGAAAGAAAAAAAGAAAAAAAAAAAAAAAAAAGGTGTGGCCTATACTTTGATGTTAGCTCCAACTGCAGTTGTCCTTTGTCACTTGTCATGTTGGATTACTCAAAGCTCTCTAGCCAGAGCAAAACACGAATACTCTCCTAGCTGCAGCACCAAATGACATACTTATTTAGTTGTGCTTCCCTCTGCTCAGCTGTCCCACTCCAGAATCTGCACTGGCTTCTCTCTGTTCCCACATACAAGTAATGGAAAGGGTATTCACAAATAAAGCTTTTACATGCGGGTATATAAACTAGGATGCTGAAAATTATTTCTCTCCTTAAATTGTACCTATCTGGCCATTTGGTAGCTATCAAGATAAAACATGAGAAGCACTGTATGCAGAATTTATACCGCTGATACCAAAAGCAGCTCCAGAACTTATACCTAAATATAATGCTGAAGACCAACATATACTTTTCACATGTGCTTACAGAAATTTAACTGAAGACAGCTTGATGCTTGAACTTGTATCCCAATAAACGCAAAGAGCTTGAAGCAGACTTTTTCAGATGAGTCTTACCCTATTAGACTGACCTTAAGAATACTCTGTGACTCCTATCAGTTTTCCTACTGAAGGGCTTAAATGATATAGTAAGGCAAAAGTGTTATTAAAAACAAGACACTACACAGTATCTTGCAGAGTTCAGCTCTTACTAGTTGGAAATGTTTTAGCCCAATATAAACATTACATTACTGTTCTAAAATATGGTTAGGTATTTATTTTGTTTATGTTTATACGCTAAAATAGGATCATAAATATATTTTATGTATTTGTTACTTCCTCTACTCAATTCACACACACAAACCCCAAATCCAAAATACAAAAACTCACTAGTCTCTGAAGTAGTTAATAGCTTTTATAATTTAAAATACAAGTAAGTGTAAGCATTACTGCTTAAATGATCCAGTAGCCCTTAAAACCACCAAGAACAATACAACCTTATCTTTATATTCACTAGATACCGAAATAAAAACATATAGGAAATTAATCTGTTAGAAGCCCAACAAAAACACATGGTCTTAAATCCTATTAATTCACTGAGAAGTGAAAAATACACAAGTTAAAGTTGTATCTTATCACACAAAATTAACATTGTTAAAACAAAGCAGCACAGTTTAAGTAATTCCTAACCTGAATACCCTTACTGTTAACTAGCCTGCAAGAGAGCTGCTTACAAAGTTTTGTAGTTCTCTACTGTTGACAAATACTCAGAGATTCTCAGGAACTAGAAAACAAAATTTTTTGTCTATTCTTCAACAGAACAGTAGAAAAAGCAAGTTCTCTTTTAACCTCTTAATACATACAATGATCAGTTGAATTTTAGATCACCTGTTACAAAGATTCCTCTGATATTTAAGTAAATCATTACATTTCACACCGTCAATAACTTCTGATTGTATTATGTGCCTTGTGTAGAACCAAACGTATGTGCAACTTTGCAGGATCAGGGCTTAATTCCAACTGCCCTGTAACAGCACAAGAACTGAAGACAGAACAACAAACCCTGCAGATTTAACAGCAGATGCTAGCTTTCATTTGTAAATAAAAAAAATCTGTACTTAAACCACATAAAATCTACAGTCACTACGTTTTGATTATATTGATAACAATTATCATGACATATGCCCTACATACTGTATGCAGCAATAAAATCTCTGGAAAGCAAGCAGCAGCTTGTGGAAAACAGTAAGAATGATTGAAATAAAACTTGATACATGTGACCTTATTTTAAAATGTCCTTTCCATATGAAATAACTTAAAAACATGTATTGTAAACCTACCTGTTCTCCAGCCACTGTACATACAATTATCTAATAATCAGATGACAATACGTTTAGACGTTTGTCTTCTACAGGTTTATTCAAAAAATAAATGCTACCTTTTTGTTCCTCCTAATAGGTTTGGGAATCTTACCTATTTAATGGCATGCTGCCCTAGCTAAATGATGAATCCTGTCTATTGCTTTTCAAATGCACCAACCTTCTCAAAAACACTGGATGGTGTCATCAAACAAAACCTGATGTTCTGAATGATGGTGTCCGTATGCCTCCAGCGTCTTCTATCATGGCGCAGCCAGGCCTGAACAGCTTCATACAGCTCTATCTCTGGAAACCTGCTCAGATGATCATTATCCAAGTAAGACATGAGCTTCTCAAAGCTCAGATATGAAAGGAAGTCAGGTCTGGACATGAGTGGCACAAAATTCTCTAGCAGAAAGGAGTCCAGTTTTTCCCTGACTCCTTCGATGTTTACACCAAAATCATCCAGAAGTCTCATAATTTCTGCACAGTTTTCTAAGCAGATTTTAGCTAAGAGAAAAGAGCAGCAAAATTTTACCACCTCTATAAGCTGGACATACATGGCAGCCTGAAGGATTTCATGAACAGTGTTCATACTCAGTTCAATAGTTCCATAGTACATGAATTGGAGGACATGACTGAAGCCTGTAGCTGTCAGACCTTTCAAATGGATTTTGTCCTGATCTCGTTCTCGCATATCAGCTGTGAACATAATCCTGAAGTAATCACTCTGGGTGGCAAGCAGTGCTTTATGGGCCTGAAATTGGTGGTCTTCAATGACAAGTGTGACATCAAGAAGCAATCCCTCCTCATACAGTGCTCTGAATCCAGCAGAGACACTGGTGTCATGGATGGAGGAGCTAAACCCTTCCACGTCCCCTGCCATGAATCACCTGGGGGGGGAAGAAAAAATAAATAAATAAAAATAAAAATAAATTGTTATTTCTAATAACATATCACAAGC